TAAATCTAGCCATCATTTTCCAATATCATAAACACATTTCACATGAAGACACAATTCACAAAACACAATCCTCCATTCACATAAATCTTAACACATGTTTCCTTGCTAAAACACAAGTTGCAAAAGAACTCTGCTCGTATTCTCAAATGAAAGCTCATGTGATGCAAAATGCTTGCCACAGTCAGCAATATTTGAACAAAATGAACACACCTGGCATCATTCATTACACACAATGACTCAAAAAGTTTACAAAAAGAAAAAGGAACAGAATGAAAGAGCGAAAAAACATGAATCTAAAAATAATAACTAAATAAATATATATTTAAAGAAAAACCTAAGGCATTAATAACTGAAATTATTCAAATCTCTTGCTGTTTTTTTAACTTTTGTTTTGTCTTTTTCTCAGAATCACCTGAACAAGCACAGCTAAGCTTTGAGAGCAGGATAAAAGGAGGGAATTTACCTAATTTACATTTATGTATGTTGTTACAATGATCATATGAATTTCCAAGAATTCCAAATAAATTTTTTTGACAATTAAGCTTTAACTGGATACTTTGAAATGCTTAGTTGTTTACAAATGCTTTTCAAAGACACTGCTATTATATAAATCAAATTCTCTCTCTTATAAACTCCTTTGAGGGATATGTTATTAATTACTTAAACATGCAATGCTTTATATGCTCACACTGGAAAAATCTAAATCTAGATAAGTCATTATTTCTTAAAATAATTGCATTTGTTCTTGAATTTAGAAGGTAAAAGACATTTTGCCAATGGAACAAGACAATTTACATTTAAAGTAAGAAAACACAATTACATTGTCTTATTTCAAGTGCATTTTATCTAAATGCCTTATTCTAAGAGTAAAAATACTGATTCAATTGGCAAATGATCTGATTTACCTACTCAAATTAAGGGAAAATTCACTTAATTTGAGAAATTTTTACTTATTTCTAGATCGTTTTTCCAGTGCAAAGATGACCCTGCACATTTAAATCTAAATCTTGATAAGTCATTTTTTCTTAAAATAAGTGCATTTGTTCTTGAATTGAGGAGATAAAAGAGACATCTTGCCAATGAAACAAGATCATTTAGATTTAAAATAAGAAAACACAATTGCATTTCAAGTGAATATTATCTAATTATCTTATTTTAATAGTAAAAATACTGATTCCATTGGAAAACTATCTCATTTACCTGCTCAAATCAAGGGTAAACACACTTAATTTAAAAAATGTTTACTTATTTCTAGATCGTTTTTCCAGTGAGGATGTTTGGCTCAACCTGCTGCTGTGAAGCAGGATTCTCCAACATGAACAGAATCAAAAATAAATCTGGATCCAGGCTCAAAATGAGCTCCTTGATATGTGCTTGAGAATGGCTTAATCTCCATTTAAACCCAGGTTTAAAGCCTTGCAGGGCAGCCTAAAGCCCACTGCCAACATTAAGACACAAAAAAGAAAGAAAATAACAAACGCTCAGTTCAGGTGTTTTATAAAATATGGGAACAAGGAAATTGTTTATATACAAATTTTAAAAATAGAAAAATTTTATTTTTTTTTATTTAAAAATTCAATGTATAACATGGATGCATAAACACCTCATTTTATTTCAGTGTTAAATTCTGTTTAAAGTAACAGATTATAATTAAAAATGTCTCTGCACCTTTACTAGTTGATTATTTTATTTATTCGGACCCCAAAGATTTTTAATTGGTTACCCCTGATTTATTGTGTAGGAGCATCTCTACATCAAAGATCAGTTTTGCATTTTCCCTACAGGATAAATCAACATGTTTGGCAGACCAGACTAATATCTACGTCATTTTAAAATCCTTAGACTAAAAACAATATATTAAGGTATTTAGTTAGCTGGGTAGAATTAACGCCTCAGAAAATAACTGTATGGAGTAAAATTTGCTCCATTATTGTGGCAAGCAAAGAAAAACACTGAATTGATAAATTAAACCCTTTTAAAATTGTTTTAATTTTAAAAGGGTTTAAGAGAAACTCTTTTTTTTCTCACATTTTTTTTTCTAAGTACATTTTTGTATAATATTTTTAAAATGTTTTTATAGAATTTCATTTGTTCTCATTTTTATATGTCTGATAGTTAATAGGAAAAAATGCATTTTTTTTTTTAAATAGAGTTTTCTTGATCACATTTGCCGTGTTTAAATTCAGCGGCTGCGTCCTCAGAAGGCTAGATTCATCGCCTGATTACGTCACAGCGCGGCGCCGAGGCTGTTTGGATTGGAAGACTCCTCGTTATGCAGCCGACAAATGCGTCCTTCTTTTTGCCCGTCTTGAAGGACGGGTCCGCTGTTTTCTACACAGCCTTGGGTATCCCATGATTCATTGTGAGTTCAAGTAAGCCGACTGTTCCATGCTCAGAGGAAAATGGGTCCAAACAGGTGAATATTGGAAATGCAGTTTAATATAATACAAGTACATGAATAGTTTAGGCTTAATGAAAATAGGTGAGTTAAAGGGTTATCGAGTCAGATATGTTGTGGTTAATTGTTGGTTTATTTGACATTTAAGTTTAGATTCCAATATGTGGAGATTACAAATCTGATATCTACACTGGAATAAAAACGAAAGTCATTCTTTCTTAAAATAAGTGCATTTGATCTTGGATTGAGGAGGTAAAAGATGCATTTTGTCAATGGAACAAGACAATTTACACTTAAAAAAAGAAAACACAGCATTGTTTTATTTTAAGTGCATGATATCTAATTATCTTATTTCAAGAGTAAGTGAATACACTTAATTTAAGAAATGTTTACTTATTTCTAGATCGTTTTTCCAGTGTATGATGATGGTACTGCTGCTGCACTGGAAAAATGGTCTAGAAATATGTAAAAATTTCTCAAATTAAGTGTATTTATCCTTAATTTGAGTAGGTAAATGAGATAGTTTGAGATAGTAGGTAAATGAGATAGTTTGTTCCATTGGCAAAATGTCTCTTACCTCCTCAATCCAAGAACAAATGCACTTATTTTAAGAAAAATTACTTATCTAGATTTAGATTTTTTTCCAGTGTGAAGCTCCCAATGAAATTAGCACACAAAACAAATGTGTGAGAAGTTCTGCTGAGAAGTTCAGCATCCATTCTTTGCCTGCTTTTTGAGTCAACTGTTGCTAGGCGACTAACTGAACTCTTCCAGCCTCCTTGTTTTCACGACCTTTGGAGGAACCAGTCCAGGTAGGCCGGGTCCTTGGAGGACGAATCAAACAGGTATCCTCTTCATTGCATTCCTCTAGAGTGAGGAACAAAGAAGCATTTCTATTGGTCGACTGGTTGTTAGCAACCAGTCGACCAATAGCAATGCTTGGCAATGCTCCTGACCAATAATGTTTTATTGAGAATTTCTTCTGGGATTGAAATGAAGATAATGTAATATGTGAAATACAATTTGAAAATCCAAAAAAGGGGAAAAACAACTTTCCAAGTTTTAAGACGTTTTGCTTCCCATCCAGGAAGCTTTTTTTTCTGGATGGGAGGCAAAATGTCTTCAAACTTGGAAACAAAGTCCAGTGAATTGTTTTTTTTTTTGGAACGACTATGACCTGGATGACTGAGAATCTTTACTAGCAGTTTGTAAAACTCAACAAAAAAAAAAGAAAAAATCCAAAATATAAAAGCTGTAAAATATACATCTGGAAAAAAAATGTGAGAAAACAGAAAAGTTCATCTCAAAACCATTTTTTGAAATTAAAACAGTTTTCAGTTTAATTCCTGAATATAGTTTTTTCTTTTATTATTTACATTTTTTTTTAAATTTCCACTTACTTTGCTTGCAGCAATAATTTAACCAAATTCACTCCATAGAAAGACTGGCTGTTTTGATCCGACTTTTATGCTACGTTCACACCGCACGCTGCAGAGGCAGCAGGAGCAGCTAGTTTACATGCAAAGTCAACAGTGTGACGTGCATCGAGGTCTAGCAACATGTCCTGCAGCAAAAGCAGCAGCTGCTGGAGTTGGAAAAATTGAACTTTTACCGCTCAAAGCGCCACATCAACCAATCAGAGAAGCTGATCTGGGAGCGGGCAGGGAGACAGACACAGCGCTGTTGATGCAGAGCGCCATGATCACTCCTGTGAAAGTTTATTAATGCCTAAATTAACATAAAATACTGAAATCTGCAGGCAAAACATGTTCACTTTTATCATCCTGATGCCTGCAGTTTGGCTTTCGTACATGAAAAACATCTTTCAGCCGCCGCGGCAAACCGCCAAGAGGTGACCGGGGCAGAGGCTGCTGTTTAATGGGATTCCCAGTGACAGCGCAACGCCGCTATGTGGGGGTCTGAGCGGCTCCGACAGAAATAATATTTAAAGGCAGGATGGTAATCTGGATGAACTGACTGCACAGACCATGTTTTCAGGTGAACTTTTTCACTTCAAAATAGATTCAAAATAGGCAAAGAAAGGATAGGGTAGCTCCGCCCAACACGCATCAGACCCACTTTTTGACCGCCCAGCTAGAGCAGCAAAGATGCTTCAGCCTACATCAGAACTAGAATGGTCCATGAATCAAAAATGAAGCAGAACGCTCGTTTTTGCTGCTCCTGCTGCTCGTTGTCTGAACGTAGCAGGTCTGCAGTTTCACAAACAAGGATGTGTGAATGCATGTGGCTCAGCTCTGCTGTTTAAAAGCTTTAGGAAGTTAAAAAAACAAAAAAAAAACCAAAAGCAAGCCTTGGGTCATAAAAAGTTTTATTCGGGAACCTTTTATCTTTTACATAATGACTATCGACATAGTGGCACACTGATGACATCATAGAATCAACATACAGTAAAGGGCTCATCAGGAACACGCCTCTCTCCCTGTGCTGATTAAGATTTGAGGATTTACTCTTAATGCACCGAGGGGAGCCGCCTGGTTTAGGCCATTTAAGGCTTTTCAATTTCTATTTGGCTGAACCTTCATCTTAGGCCTGAACATTTGGAATAAACTCCTAAAATCTTTCCACAACAACGTGTAGCTACTGCTAAACATAAAGGGGAGCGCCACTCCGTTTGGTAAAAGTTAGATGGGTTTCAGGCGACGACCTAAACGACAAAGCTGCTATAATTATACGAAAACAAAAATCTGATGGTAAAAAGCATTTTTATCCACAAAAAGTAAGAATTGAGTGGCAATCCTCTTTAAAACATCTGCCTAACATTTGGAAAAAGAGACTGTAATGTGCAAGACACACACACACACCCACACACACACAACTCTCAGGACATCTCTACTAAAAGCGCAGGATTATAAAACACTGACATCATCGAGAGGACGTGCTGTACAGAGAGCTGGGAGCGACACCCGCCTCCCGTCTCTTGCTCAGTCACAATCATGACGAAGGAGCCATGCTGAGTGTGCAAACCGAGTGAGTAAGTCTCCTCTGCTACCGGCTGATTCAGTGGAGCTACATCGAGTGTGGCGGTAAGGAAAAGCTCTAAGTGTTTACAGCAAACCAACGGACAGAGAAATAAAGTAGAAGTCCTTCTGCAGGCGGCGACGGCATTCCTTCATCTGGAGATATTCCCCTCCGTTAGGAACGCCCACAAATATCACGACATCAAAAATACGAGTGGATTTTATTCACATTCCCAAAATTCCAAAGTTTTCCAGACAGCGGCGGTCCTTTAAAAGCAACGTCTCGCCGTGTCTCAGCTTAGCTCTCTTCAGAGGGACACCAGTGTTCTGTCCTGGGCTCCTCGTGCAGAGCAGAGCGACCCCCACAAGGGGGCGCCTTCAGGCCGAGCTCGGAAATATGAAGCTCCTCAAAGCTGGTGGGAGGAAAGTAAGAATGGAAAAGTGGTGAAACTGGACAGAAATGCGATGGGACCCCGTCCTCGTCGACGCCGGCTCCCTCTGAGCGGCGTTTAGGTCGGCAGCGGGTCGTCGTCGCCTTTGCTGCATTTGCACTTGCAGCAGAGGACGATGGGGGTGGCCAGCAGGAGGAAGGGCGAGGCGACCAGCAGGAGCAGGCCGAAGCCGGCGAAGATCCCCACAACCTGAGAGGAAAACGATAAATTAATGAGAACCTCTTTCATTCAGAAAATAAAATGTTCCAGCAGTCACATGGAGGATAAACTAGCAGAGAAGCTGTTTGCATAAATAGGGATGGAAAGTTAGTTGGAAGGACAAACTGTGGTAAAAATATAGATGTTCAAGCAACAGGATAACGACATTGTAAGGTTGAAATCAGGTTGGTTTACATTTTAAAGACCAGTTGATACGAACAGAAGCTTCAAATGTTAAAATCCTCAAGTTTGGAAAATTCATTGACAAAAAAATTCTTAAGATGACAGAAAACCGAACCGTAAGTAAGTAATGTTTATTTATATAGCACTTTTGAAACACATAGAGGTCACAAAGTGCTTCACAAATTACAATACAGATAAAAATATAGTTACATTTAAAGTCACAAAAGACATAAAACAACAGTTTGCTCTTAAAAACATCAACAAAATAAGGTAAGCGCAAGGAAAGCGGAGATCGTTCCAGAGCGCCGGTGCGACCGCCTGATAGGAGCGATCTCCCCTGGTCCTGTGACGAGTACAAGGGACCATGAGCAGGTTCTGGTCCTGAGACCTCAGCCTCCGAGAGGCGGCATAAGGACACAACAAGTCTCTGATGTAGGAGGGAGTCTGACCGTGAAATGCAGACAAGCAACCTGGGCTTCCTGAACAGAACCACAGGCTGATCTCCTCCATGCTTCTCTGCAAAGATGCACTAATTCAACCACAAGGAGCTGAATGGACCGAATGCACTGAATGTACAGAACAGATACTGATCAGTAGCCAATATTCTGTGTTTACAACTTATTTCAGTTTGTTTTTTTTTGCTGCAGAAATATACAATCAAATAGTAAAACATTTAAATATGTTTGTCTGTTTGGAATAGGTTTATATAGTTTTACATTTTTAATTTAATCATGAAAATAAACACATTCTTTATTGATACTCTAATTTATTGACCTTCAGCAAATAAACTGCAATTACCCACATTGGACAACAGGAGGCAGCAAATACCTCCAACCCAAAATCCTTTCATCGTTTTTTTTTTTCCCTTTTCCCTCCAGCAAAAACAATTTAAGGGAAAAATTTTATTGAAACTAAGCTCCCCAGTTTTAGTCATGAACTCTAAACAAAAATAATTCAATACCTGAGGTCAGATTAGTATATATTATATTTCTGATTTAAAATATAGGAGAAAGAAAGAAAGAAAGAAAGAAAGAAAGAAAGAAAGCTGTTTACATAAAAGTTTAAATAAATCTTTAAGATAAAAAAATACAGAAAGGATGAGAAAAGATGAAAAAAGGTGAAAAATAGGAGAAAAATAAAGATGTAAAGTAAACATTTTAAAACTGCAATTTATTTAATTCGCCACGAGGGGGAGCCAAACAACTGAAAACTCAACGCCAACAAATTAGGAAATCAGAATCAGATGTAAGGATGACTTGTTTTTCTCTTTGTTTGTGGAGAAGAAGACATATTGTAGATTTTTTGTCTAATTCTCTCCTTCCTGTTTTTTTCTCGAGGAGAGAAGAAGACTTTGTCAGAGGCGCATAGATGGCGCTCTCTGGTTTAGAATACGGACATGGACAGGTTGGCAAACATCTTCATCCTGGAACATTGTGCGTTTCTGAGGCAGCAGAAGGAAGGCTGTCTGGGATGTAAAGCAGCCAACCAAGGGTGAAACAAGGAGAGCGAGACAGCGAGAGACGGAGCAGCGAAGCTTCTGCAGATGAACTGTAATCACATGACTCAGCCTGCCCCACTCACAGCAGATGCCAATGTGTATGCTAATGCAGGGAAAATAGCAAGTACATTGGACGCAGTGATGCACCGCGCCGCGAATAGAATGCACTGCTGAACTTCATGAATATTGCCATCTGTGGGGGATGAAGACCAGATCGTAAATTCTGTTCCCACTGAGAGGCCAAAACATCTTTTCCTGAATTTATTTTCTTCTACACCCGGAAAAGAAAACCAGTTGGAAGCCAGAGAAAGTTTGCAACATGAGTTGATATTTATTCATTAATGCTAAAGTGATGCATCTGCAAAGATACACGAACAAAGAAAATCAACAGAGCAGTTGGACTCTGCAACATGGCTGAAAACAATCCAGTAAAACCACAAGGTACTGACTGAGAATGAATGGAGCAGCAAGGGTCTAGTCAAAGCCCAAACTGTTAGGAGGTGATTTGAAACAGGCTGTAATAAAGAAAACCTTCAAACAGTTTATAAATGAGAAGGATTGGAACAAACTGTCCTTAGATCCAATATACACTCACCGGCCACTTTATTAGGTACCCCATGCTAGTAACGGGTTGGACCCCCTTTTGCCTTCAGAACTGCCTCAATTCTTGGTGGCATAGATTCAACAAGGTGCTGGAAGCATTCCTCAGGGAGTTTGGTCCATATTGACATGATGGCATCACACAGTTGCCGCAGATTTGTTGGCTGCACATCCATGATGCGAATCTCCCGTTCCACCACATCCCAAAGATGCTCTATTGGATTGAGATCTGGTGACTGTGGAGGCCATTTGAGTACAGTGAACTCATTGTCATGTTCAAGAAACCAGTCTGAGATGATTCCAGCTTTATGACATGGCGCATTATCCTGCTGAAAGTAGCCATCAGAAGTTGGGTACATTGTGGTCATAAAGGGATGGACATGGTCAGCAACAATACCCAGGTAGGCTGTGGCGTTGCAATGATGCTCAATTGGTACCAAGGGGCCCAAAGAATGGCAAGAAAATATTCCCCACACCATGACACCACCACCACCAGCCTGAACCGTTGATACAAGGCAGGATGGATCCATGCTTTCATGTTGTAGACGCCAAATTCTGACCCTACCATCCGAATGTCGCAGCAGAAATCGAGACTCATCAGACCAGGCAACGTTTTTCCAATCTTCTATTGTCCAATTTCGATGAGCTTGTGCAAATTGTAGCCTAAGTTTCCTGTTCTTAGCTGAAAGGAGTGGCACCCGGTGTGGTCTTCTGCTGCTGTAGCCCATCTGCCTCAAAGTTGGACGTACTGTGCGTTCAGAGATGCTCTTCTGCCCACCTTGGTTGTAACGGGTGGTTATTTGAGTCACTGTTGCCCTTCTATCAGCTCCAACCAGTCTGGCCATTCTCCTCTGACCTCTGGCATCAACAAGGCATTTCCGCCCACAGAACTGCCGCTCACTGGATGTTTTTTCTTTTTCGGACCATTCTCTGTAAATCCTAGAGATGGTTGTGCGTGAAAATCCCAGTAGATCAGCAGTTTCTGAAATACTCAGACCAGCCCTTCTGGCACCAACAATCATGCCACGTTCAAAGTCACTCAAATCACCTTTCTTCCCCATACTGATGCTCGCTTTGAACTGCAGGAGATTGTCTTGACCATGTCTACATGCCTAAATGCACTGAGTTGCCGCCATGTGATTGGCTGCTTAGAAATTAAGTGTTAACGAGCAGTTGGACAGGTGTACCTAATAAAGTGGCCGGTGAGTGTATTTATTGAATGCTTTCCTATTGACGAGAACACAAGAGAACCATAATACACTGATATTCATATTTATAGATGTTAGAGAGATGCCTTCCAGTGCATATAGAGCCCAAAAACATTGATGTATAATAAAATAATAACCGATAGCCGATTCCGAAGCCAAAATCAATATATCATGTATCCCTAGAATTTACTATTTCAATTCCAACCAGCAGCCAGAAAAATATGGATATGCTACATTTTAAATATGGAATAGCATATTTTTTGTGGTAAACTTTCCGGTAAACTTGGAGATATATTTTATTGCATGTTGCATATCCCAGCAAATCTGTTTCATCTGTAAATCTCCCTACTTCTCTCTGTGCTCAAAGATTTATGAACTTATTTACTACCGTATTTTCGCGACTATAACCCGCATATAAATGTCTTTTTTTTCCTCAAAATGTGCGGCGCGCCCTACAGTGCGGTGCGCTCTATGTGTGTTGTTACTGCGGACGTTGTTGAGACCACCATGAGAACGTTAAAGGGGGAAGTGTGGGCGTGGATTGTGTATAAAAGAACAGGTATGTGCTTTATGCAGAACATTGTTGTCTTAACAACCCTGAAAATGGCAAAGAGACACGCCTATAAAGCACAGTTTAAACTGAAGGCTATCAGCTACGCAGAGGAACATGGAAATAGAGCAGCCGCGAGAGGATTCAAGATTAATGAATCGTTATTAAGGCAAATGAAAAGGGCTCTCGTTTGCGGATCTCTCTCGTTTGCGGATCTCTCTCGTTTGCGGATCTGTCCCAAAGCGACAAAAAAAAACACGGACTGAAAACGCCCTGAACACAGTCAGCTGCACCCAAATGCTGTTACCTTTTGCTTAAGTAAATGAGCGGAAAGGGGAAAAGTTAGTGGGGATAAGCCTGAAGGACGTAACTGCAGATCGAACAGCATGAGGCCGTTAAAACATTAAAAATTCAAATGAGAGCAGTTAGAATTCTGACTTAAGGCTGATAACCTCCTTCTATGCTGTTGAGTTGATATGAAAAATGGAAACAGAAAACTTGGGTCCCTGGAGAAGGTTCCTACACTGCAAAAGCGATCTAGATGGTAAACATTTCTTAAATTAAGTGTATTTACCCTTAACTTGAGTAGGTAAATAAGATAAACTGCCAATAGAATGAATATTTTCACTATTAAAATAAGACAATTAGATTGTCTTGTTCCAATGGCAAAGTTTCCCACTTACCTCCTCAATTCAAGACAAAATGCACTTATTTTAAGAAAAAAAAAAACTGCATTGAAAAGCTCTGATCCTTTTAAATGTTTGCACTCTCACATCAGAGATGTGTAAAACACCATTTAAAGCATCTAAAACCAGCGCTGTTACATAAACCCATTTTATAGCGGCGTTTCCATGTAATGGTCTGTATGGAAACAGCCGCTCTTCTGCTGCTGCACGTGGACAACGCTCTGCTTCACCTGTTGTGTTGTCAGGATAACACAACCACACCACAAAGGGATAGAACTGAGAGGAAGAGGAGAGCACGTGCGCCTCTGCGTGCCGCAGCGAGGCTAAGAAAAGACGGAGGAGGCGCCACACGTCTCAGGGAAGGGAGTCTGTGTTCTCACCTGCGTTCTGTGCCAGATAACAGACGCCCTGGAGTGGCCCAGTTTGTTCCGACACGGCCCTTTGTCGTAGTGGATCAGCAGGAAGTCATCCTGACACAAAAACATACCGTGTTAGAAGTGACCATCAGCAGCCCGGCTGTTAAGACAAAATGGAAACCTAGGATTATGTCAAAGCAGTGAGTTAAAAAATCTCAGCCCTCCAGCCTTCACTGAAGCTAAATGATTATGGGAGAATTATCCTGCCATAATGCAAGAGCACATAATTTCAATTTGAGAGAAGAATTTCATCTTCTTGCACTCAAAACATGCGCTGTCTCTCAAATATTTTCTCTTCTCTCTCAAATCTTTATTTCTTCTCTCAGATTTAATGCTTCTTGCACAGATATTTTCTCTTCTCGCTTGCCTCCTTCTCTTCGCGCACAAACCGCTCTCTGCTCGAGTCTCAGTTACGCTCGCAAACCCGTAGGCTCTGCTTGCGGATTTTTTTTGCTCTCTCTCAGATTGGATCGGATCGTCGTCTAGCAACCTTTCCAGCCAATAGAACGACAGCCTCGGAAAAGGTGCGCTTGTCTAACTCTACTGAGTGTGCCTGTGATAAACCTTACCGACAATAAAATGGCTTTTTAATTTAAAAGCTATGCATTTTCAGACGTGACGTGATGTGAACAGAAAACTCCCGCCTCAGAGTTACTCGTCAGAAAAAAAAAGAAAAAAGAAAAAAAGTTTGCTAGTCAGGGCAGATGCTAATTCTGCCTCTAGCAGAAATTAAGTGACTTTTCATTGGTGATTCTTGAATCGCCCTTTATTATTTCCTTTTTTTATTTTCCTGATTGTTGTTGTTTTTCAGCTTCTTATTTTAATAGCTTTTAAATAAAAAAGCCAATTTATTGTCGGTAAGGTTTATCACAGGCACACTCAGTAGAGTTAGACAAGCGCACCCTTTCTGAGGCTGTCAACTGGTTTTCCTTAGATAGAAAACTTTGAATCAATCTGACTGGATGATGTGAACTGCAAAGTGCCTTTTGATGAAATGTGAAATGTGTTGTAAATTGGCGCTATAAATATAAACTGAACTGAATTAAACTGAATTGAAATCCCTCAATCATTATGTAGAATAGGGACTATATAGTGGACTTTATAGTGAACACAGTTAACTGACCGTTCGACAGATGATCACTACTTTCTGCTCCTGTTGGTCACGTAACTCCACCTTTACTGTGCGGTGCCTGCGCCATCTTTGTTATTAGTCGCCGCTGTTGGGTGGCGACAGCAAATCCCACATGGCTTTCCGAGCGAAGCTCTTCACACAAAGCATTGTGGGATATATCTGCCTCTTCTGAGGCCTTTCTTTTCTTCTCATACACTTTTTAGACACTTTCTCTTACGACCCTCTGCCCTTTTTAAAGAAAGGTGAGCTTCAATGACTGTCTGAACCTGTAGCTCACCACAGATACACGCCTGAAAGCGTGCATGCACAGAAAAGATAGCTAACGGGACGAGCAAGTAGGATGACCTTACGTAAACATATCACCAGAATGATTGACAGTTAGAAGGACCACTTATTTAGAGGATCCATCCGGAAATAAAAGATCTACTTCTATATCTTTAATCAATTCTGCATCATGGTTTTACTTTTAAGTGAACAATTGTGAGATAAAATGCAACCAACTCACGTCCAAGGACTCCAGACAGTACCAGCAGAAGGCATGTTTACAGTTCTTGCACATCATCTGTGCGCATCCCTCGTCTCTCTCGATGTAAACCTTACACTTAGGACAGCGCTTGATGGGGGCGTCGTCCTCTTCGTTCTTATAAAAGGAGCTGAAACCCAAAAGGACAAGATGGTCCTTTTAAGCAGATTCTTCAGGTTTTCAGCTAAGAGCGAACTTTAAAGCTTTTAAATAAACCAACAGCAATTTACGAACATTTTAAAAGCGTCCACCAACTTCTTAATCTGGGATTTAATCCGTTTTACCTGTATTCTCCTGGCAGGAAGGAGGCGATGGGCAGGTTGCTCTCCTGGCAGGCCTGCCCGGGGTGCCAGTTGGCCTTACAGGCGGAGCAGAACTCCAGGGCACAGACGGCGCACTGAACCAGCTGAGGCGGGGCTGGAGAATCCGTCTCCTTCAGCTGGCATACGGCCTGGCAGGTCGAAGAGGGACACCACGTCCTGCACGGGTCCAGCAGAACCTCTGAAAGAACAGGATTATACCAGATTATTGTCAATGTTCAATAATGTTTCCTTTTTTATTCTCTGAATTCAGATGTTTAAAAAGTGCATCATCCAGAAATTAAATATTCTTTTTATTTCTTTGGTCTGACGTCTTTTTAAATTTCCCTACAAAACATGTTAAATCTCAGCCTTTTAGGATTAAAGCCTCATCTTTAATGATAACAACAAAAGATGTAAAACCTATTTTCTAATGAACTGACCCACTAACAGCTAGGGCATAAGATAACGGAAATACGCCTCCCACAATTTTTAAGACAGGATTTTTTTTTTTTATAGAAATTTTCTAAATTTTAGGACAATATAGTCCGATAAAGAACACATTTATATACATGTTTAAGGCATGTTTAAGGCTTTTTTTAAATGTTCCTTTTACAAAACTTCATTTTTGCTGCAACAATAATTAAATCCAATATTGTCTCAATAAACAAAGAAAATATACCAACATCTGTTTTTGCAACATGAGAAAATGTGAAAAAAAATCCACAGTGAAAATTTTTTATATTTTTTCCTCTGCAGTTCATAAACTACACAAAAAAAAGTCTAAATAAAAGGAAAACTGAAATTGAAAACTTGGGAGCAAAGAAGGATAAACAGAACAGCTCTTCCCACAAACAAGCAACAGGATCAAATCCCTCCAGAAAGATCCGACTCCCATCATCCCTGTCCTGCGCTATAGTAAAGACGGCATCTCTGTTTTCTTGAGCAGCCCACGAATCGCCCACTCAAGCAATCTGGAGCCATCGCTGACGCACCACAGCTGCTTTTAGATTGACTCACCGCGCTCGAACTGAAGCTTTTTATACCTCTGCATCATCTCTGAAGCCACCATGCACTCGATCTGCAGACAGGGGAGAGATCAGAAGGAAATAAGGCGGCTGCTGAGCACGTTTAGACAAAAATCTGAAAAAAAACCATGTTAAAGCATAATATGCAAATCTAACAGCAGGATTGTAATTTTTCTTAAAGTTGGATATTTTTTCAATTCAGTTTTATTCAGTTTATTTCTATGACGCCAATTCACAACACACGACATCTCAAGGCACTTTATAGTTCACCAGATCATACAGTCAAATTGATTCAAAGGCAATCCCTCACACCAAGCATGCTTGTAGCGACAGTGGAGAGGAAAAACTATCTTTTAACAGGAAGAAACCTCCAGCAGAACCAGGCTCAGTGTGAGCGGCCATCTGCTGAGGACGACTGGGGTTCAAGGATGTCGCTACCCGATCCGACCTGGAAGCACGATCCGTCCTGCGCATGCACGAAAACATATACATCCCGGTGTCCATAAATAATGTAATTATGGTACTAAAATGACTTATTTCTATCCTTAACTCACTAAAGAATGCTACTGCACATATTTAAAAAATGTTTTATGACTTTTGTGAGACAATTTTGATGCTTTATACTTTAAACCGCTTCTCTGACGTCATCATGGGCAGTGTTGTGCCTGAACGCGTTCATTGAACGAAAGTTCACGAACTCGTTCATATTTTGGGCGAACGTGAACTGAACGTACTGCATTACTGCCTGATGAACGTTATTGTGAACTTGTTCATTCTGTTGTCTGTGAACGGCACGCTCTCTCAGTTCAACTCCGTTCAATAGGTTGCCAGATTTCTATAGAGCCCTCCAGGCGAAACCCCGGCTAAATCACACCGTAAACAAGCCTTAATATGTAGCGGGAAAATCACCCAATCTGGCAACACCAGCTACCAGCGTCGTAGCCTACAGCCGCGTGCGTCATCAAAACAAAATGCAGCGTGGAAGCCACAGCAGCATGGAGGCGACCGTGGAGGCGACAAAGCAGCAGTATGGTCACTCAGTTTGTGTTAGTAAAATGTTCTTGAGGGTTTTACTATTCATGTAACTTGTTTGTTAAACCTGCCTGGTATAATTTTATAATTAGTATGTACTGAAATGGAATTTCAAATTGCAAAAATGATTAAAATTAAAAAAACATTTGCACCTTAAAGACTACTTTCCTGTTTTTCTTTTAATAATTCCTCACAAAAAAAGACCATTCACTGTAGGGGTGAAAGCTGCAGCTGCTACTAGTGTGAAGTGAATGGACAGCAACAAAGCGTTAAAGCAACAATGGGGAAATGCTGTCCCCTCAATGCTAATGGAAACCCTGGTTGGATAAGGATTCAAAACTGGATATGAAGATGAAATCTGACGCACAGTTTCAGTTACAACTGATAAAATAATTGCTGTCTGTGGTTCTACAGTAGGCTATGGTGTAATTGAGCAATATATGAAAAAAAAAGAACTATGAACTAGTTCATTTTTTGGAACTGTGAACTTAGTTCAAAATTTTGAATTATGAACTATGAACTGAACTAGTTCATTTTAAAATGTGTGAACTGAACTTTGAACTAGTTCACGTAGAAAGAGAACTTTCCCAACACTGATCATGGGACGTGCTCAGAGCATTCTGGCCAAACCCAGATTAAACCATGTTTATCTGCATTTTAGTTGTTTCTTTCTTTAGATTACGCACTTTATAGCAAAAGGTTAAAATGAAAGGAAAACATAAAACCTAAAAAGACTTGATCTATTTTTAAATCCAAAGGCGGAAAAGTTAGCGACTGGAAGTAGCGTGGGATCCCATTTCTGGTGCAGATCGGGCAGAGACGATGAAACACAAAGGATTTTAAGGCATTTATTTTCTTAGGAAATATATTATTAACCTTTAACACATTATATTGTAGTACCTTTACTATTTTTGGGGAGGGAAAAACTTAATTTAGGTTTTTTTAACAAAATATAATCTCAGGTTACACAGATGTCTAACTGGATGTGCAAATGTGCTTCTGGGACGGATCGGGTAGTTCAGAGCGTTCCGGGCGTGCTCATTTAACAGCTAATGTATGGAATGTTCAGGCCTTGCAGACTGGAATCAATTAGACAGTGAGGGACCTGCTGACAGGATAGAAACACTGGCAGGTTTCATTAACAGCAAGTGTTGCTAATTGATCAGTAATGTAACGCCGTGGTGAGCAGGACTAAGATGAGCCTCTGAGGGGCGGTGAAGGAGAGAGTGAACCCATCCGACAGAAACAGGAGGAGGAGGGGATGATGGAGCAGGATGCAAGGATGATTTCTGTTACTGATCTACTTTAATAATAATGTAATGATTTTTCTAATCAATCAGGCTTCAGGATTGTTTGATAAAAGCTGCCAGATCAGCTCTGAAATGGAGAAAGAGTAAATAAAAGGAGGAGACCAGGATGGGTTCCTCTGGTTTTAACCAGGAGTCCTCTGACTGTTTTCACTTGCTAAAACGATTAATCACTAAAACAAACGAGTCCCACAACTTAGGTAAGATCCGTGAATAATCATCCGTGAACAATCAACTTTCCTCGGAGTGAAACTGCGTTTAACGCGGTGAAAAGAGGTGAGAGGATCCTGGGAGTGACGGTTGGGAATAACATTCTCAGATCATGGGTGGGAGAAGATGTTGGAAGTACATTCAGACTATTATGCATCCCCAAAGTCAGTCCTCGAGGGCCTCTGTCCTGCAGGTTTAAGAGGTTTCCCTGCTTTAGCACAGCTGATTCTGATGCTTGCCGTTCAGCAAAAGCCTGTTAATCTAGCCTAGTAAACTAGCGAGTGGTCTAGCCTCGATCAATGCCCCAGGCCTTAGAACTGGCGGGCCAATCACAACGCAGAGATGTGTTTTGAATTTCTGGATGCAAAACGGGCGGGGTTTTGAGGGCGTGACGACAAAGCTGCACGACACTGGGGAAAGCACAACAAGGAAGATGGCAACTATTGAACAGTTCTCGCTTGACTCAGCTTTGGAATCAGTTCTGGAAGGATTAAACTTGGGGTTTTTGTTGAAACGTGAGCAGGAAGAGGCTCTACGCTCATTCATTTTTAAGAATGATGACAGGCTGTTTGTTTATTTTCCCCCACCATGTTTCTGTCACGCTTCCTACGTCACAGTCAGTTGCGCTCATTGGTCAGAGTGTTGGCCAATAGAAACAGACATACTTTGAAAAATAACAGGTTGTTCTCATCAACAATCTTCCGATGTCTCATTCATCGGGGCCAGACTAAATTACACATTTAATCTCACATTTAGTCTGGTTTATCAGGCTACTGTTAATCAGCAATCAAAGAAAATCAGCTGTGCAGAAGTAGGTAACCCTTTAAAACCTGCAGGACAGCGGCCCTCGAGGGCCGACTTTGGGGATGCCTACTACAAGTTATTCTATTTAAAATAATGAACAGAGCTTACTATTCCATTAAACTTCTACTAAGGAATAAAAAAAAACATAAATCATTTAAAAAGTAGCAACATCATCTGCAAAAGTAAAGCTGCACAGCTTTGGTCTTTACCTCATTTTCCTGCAAATGTCCCCTTTTTGGACAGGCGGAGTCAGGACAGCTGATTGCGGTTTCCAGGCCTTCTTTAATCAGGAGCTCCACGTACTGCTTCAGGCACTGAAAGAAGAACACACACCCACGGGTCACCAAAGGTACTCACGCCCCTCCAACATCTTCACCTCATGTTACTGCCACAGAATCCACTGTAATCCACTGGGATTAAATGATTTTACACAACTGATTAAAGTGAATGTGATTGGTCGATTATCAAGGGGGCGGGATTGTTGTGGCGGAAGGTTCGCAAACAAGTTTGGTTGTGGCCGGTTTGTGGGAAGCATCTTGCTAACCAGTTAGCAACTTAGAGCTAGTAGGTTCCCAATGGGAAATTCCATTGGGACCAAGTAGCACTAAATTGGTGACTTAGAAACGCCGCTGTCAAGGAATGCTATTGAGGAAACATGCAAGAGGAGGAGAGTTTAGTGTCGGAGGTCGTGGATGAGTCTCCTCCGTCATCCATTTTTTATTTAGAGGAGGAAAGCGGGGACGAAGATGTTGTGGAAGAGGACGCCAGGGCGGCAGAAGCTTGGTTTGGTGTAGAAGGCTTCCAGCCGTACATGTTTGAGCCCTTGCCTCGCAACGCTGCCAGTTCTGTTAGCTCTACGCCTGCCGAAGACACAGACGTCCATCCCCGTGAACACTGGGACGCAACTCAATGGGAAAGGAAAGGATTCTGATTTCAACCGTTGCGTATATTAGCTGCGACATATGAATCAAGATGCTATGACCGAAAAAATTTGATTGATAGCTGACCGTTGATATATGATTGGCCGAATTTAGGTGTTTAGGCTGACGTAGAACTAACTGGACTGGATAAGATAATGGAAAAACACCACAGAATTGTTCTAACTTTTGGGACAATGATAAAGTACATTTATATACATGTTTAAGCCAGAATTATTTGAAATTTAAATATGATTTCCCTACAACTTTGAAGTAACAGATAATAATTAAAAATGTATCCAGACCTTTACTGGTTTTTGATTTTTTTTTATTTGGACACTGATTTTTTATTGGTTAGCTCTGCTGCATGCTAACCAACTACAGAACCCAGCCAGCGAGACAGAAAACAAAATGTTAAAAACCATTAATTGCAACCCATACATTAAAATCACAGCTAAAGATTGGTGACAAATTCAGGTAGTTTGTTAATAAAACAACATCCTGACAAACATAAAGCAGTTTTGGTTGTTTATTGCTGTTGGATCTTCATGTTAGGACGAGGAAAACCTGAAATGCTGAAATGTTCCATTTAATTTAGCTTGTTTATGTGTGGATAGTTTTCTGTTTAGTTATGGTGTCGTGAAAGCTTTAGAAATAAACAACAATATTTACACAAGGCAGGGTTGGAAAACAGCTTAAATCTGGACGGTTATTTATTTTGCTGACTGGTTCTGGGTTCCTGCGTGGGCAGAACACTTTTCTAACATTTAAATCTATAAAGTCTGTCTGGTACAGATCCCTGGAGGTAGAGGCCGGCCCCACTGGGAGCCTGGAAGGAAGCCTGGTTATAGACAAAGCAAGGATGGAAGGATTTCCTCTATAACTCATCTAATACAACCAGATAACTGCAATAAAATGAAAAAAAGAGTAAATAAACACACACTCACACCATTCAGTAACTTTATTTAAATCAATTTATTTTTAGTTAGAAAGTTAAAAAAGCAAATCAATTAGAAGCTATGAAAAGCCTGTTTACATGTCTGCCCTCTGGGATAAAGTGTGGGACTAAACTTTGGTAACCGCCACCGCCAGCCAGCCTGTTTCAGGAAATGGCAGCTATATTTAGAGCTGGTTTTTTGGTTCGACTCTAAAAGCCGACAGACGTCTTTTTCTCTCAGACTCAGACTCACTCAAGCTCAGATGATCAACCAGAGTTTAGTGAAAACCCTTTGTGGTGGAATAAAATGCATCATTGCTTCTCTGAACGCTACGTCAATATTCTGGAACCCACAATTTAAAGATCTCAACAAAAAAGTTTTAATTATTCTTTATTGTCACGACAACAAACATGAACTTATTTAATTAGAATTAAATTAAAATAATCATAAAAACTATAGAAATCCCCCCCCCCCCCCCCCAAAATTTTTTTTTAAGTTGTAGGGAAACGGATGTTCCAACCGTTGCATTTCCGAATTCTCCCGAGTGGTGCACGACTTTACACGAGTGAATAAAGTGAATGTGATTGGTCGTTTATCAAGGGGGCGGGATTGTTGTGGCGGAAGGTTAGCAAGCACGTTTGGTTGTGGCTGGTTTCTCTGAAGTATCTTGCTAACCAGTTAGCAACTTAGTGCTAGCAGGTTCCCAATGGGAAATTCCATTGGGATCAAGTAGCACTAAATTGGTTACCTGACTCCGCCAGATGGATTTGCTTCGCATATCCATCTGGAAACCTTCCGTAGAAGTAATTTTGGGAAGGGGCGAAAATACTGGTTAGCTGATTGGCCTATGTTGGTGATAGACGGGCCAAATAAACCAATCAGATCAACGAAGCATATGACGTACTAACAGAGCGACGACGAAAACACAACCACAAGCCAGGCTACTCTTGCCAAAACCAGTCGGGAGAAGAGCAAAAACATCTTTTCCTCTGAGAAAAGCCTCCAGAGCAGTGTTTTGCTCTTCTTTCAGGGAAGAAATACTCTGTAATTCCGATAAAACTTGCTCGATAGCCACGCTAACGCTAGTTTCATCGGCTGAAGGCGCCATGTTCGTTTGTTGAACCGCTCCAAATTTTCTTCAACGGAGAGTCTCCAGACTGATCTGCGAGTGAAATCTTGAAAACTCGCGAGATCAGGATGGTCTCACGAGGCTACTAAATTGGTGACTTAGAAACGACACTGTCAAGGAACGCTATGGACAGCGGAAAAAATGCAAGAGGAGAGTTTAGTGTCGGAGGTCGTGGATGAGTCTCCTCCGTCATCCATTTTTTATTTAGAGGAGGAAAGCGGGGACGAAGATGTTGTGGAAGAGGACGCCAGGGCGGCAGAAGCTTGGTTTGGTGTAGAAGGCTTCCAGCCGTACATGTTTGAGCCCTTGCCTCGCAACGCTGCCAGTTCTGTTAGCTCTACGCCTGCCGAAGACACAGAGGAGAGCTCACTCTCCTAGCAAAGCATTCCAGGATATATCTGCTCATCTAGTGACCATAGGTGATCACTACTTTTCAAGGTGCATTGTGGGAAATGTAGTCCACTACATTTTCATCAACTAGATGTTCGGACACTCATTTAAAGATGGTGTAACCCTCATATAGCAAAGTTCCTATCATGACCATTTTTCCAATTAAAACATTGGAAATTTCTGGATTGCATTTTTCCAACTTTTTATTCCAAAACTTTTTTTTTTTATCCAATTTTCATTTACAAAACATGTACTTTGCTTCAGCAATGGAACAAAGTTAACTTCATACATTTTCAGGTTTTTATTTGTATGGTTAATGAAATAATTCCTAACTATTCGCTGCTTCATGTTGGTCTGTCATAAAATCCCAACTAATCACTTTAATGTTAGTAGTTGGAATGAAGGATAAAATAATCCTGAAGGTTGTTTGAAGCCCATTAAATGTTGAAAGAGGTGTAAGAAGCTGAAAAACCTCACCAGCGTGCAGAAGACGCATTGGCACTGCGTGATGGTGGTCATCTGCTCCAGTGGGAACTCTCCAAGGCATAGTTTACACGAGACCAGGGGGTCCACGGCCAGCTCCCATGTAGGGCGGTACCTCGCTGTGGTCATCTTTACCGCCACAGAGCTGAGACAAAACAAAAGCCACAGTTAATTCAAACACAAAAAGCTTGAGGAAATAAAAACAGGGTATGCAGGCTCACATTTTACAAGAATCAAAGACGTCCTTTGACACAATTAGCTTGACCACAGCAGCTCAGGCTTAAAAAATGCACCTTGATGCTGTCAAAAGAGGAGGCAGGGACAACAACGGGCCTCTACTATGCAGAACGACACCGGTTTGTTTGGATAAACACCCAACGTCAGCCCAGTTCAGCTTCATTTTAACAACACGCTTTTTGACATTAAAGAAGAAAGGCTTTGGAAGATCGTCTGGCCATCTACACCAGCCTCCTAAGCCTGCAATTAAAATGTTTTCTGCATTAAGTAAGATGGTTTCTGCACAAGAAAAAAAAAATAAAAATGCACGCCTTTCTGTTTCTTTTCTGAAGTTATTTTAGGCTGCCTTGTCTCCCTGCAGCTGAGAGCAAACAGCTCCTACTCTGCTGTTTACAGGAAGTGCTTCGGCACTCACAGCGTTAGCACAGCCGATCTCTCCCCTTGCTGCTTAGCAACCCGCTGGAGGAGGATTTTTAAGCTGGAGGAAGCAGTTAAGGAAGAAAGAGTCTGATCACCGCTGATCACTCTGCTTTAGTTTTCCTGTCGGCAGAGGAGGACAAAGAATAAACGGAGAATTGGGTTCAAGAGTTAATGTGAGCGCTCTGCAGACTCGTGCTGGAGCCATGTGAAAACCTGCAAGGGAGGAGGGAAAAGGAGAGTTGCTATGTTTTGATTTTGCAGACATTTATCTTTAAATCACTTTTCCTAGCCCCTGGAATCTTCCAGGCAGGAGGAAATCTGCAGGATGTTGCATCCATCAACGATCCACCACACTTAGGCCCCGTCCACACGAAATCAAAACGAACACGAAACGCTGATATTTTCCAAAACGTTTGCCGTAAAGACGGAGACGTAAAATAAATGTGAGCGTCCACACGAATGCATGAAAACGCTGCAAAATGTATGCCAGGCCTGTAAGTGGCGCTGTGGTGCCAAAGCAAAAATAAGCGACGAAATGTTGGGCATGCGCACTAACATTTATACATGTTTGCCCTGCGGGCCCATTTTCGTGGTTAAGTCAAATTCAGGTGCTTAACTATGTCGTCGATATTGCTCTGTTCTTCCTGGAGATATTCCAGAAGAAGAAGATTCTGTTGTAAGCCCGACAGCAGGGTGAGTAGCATTAGCAGCAACGGCGCCATTGTTGTTGTGATGTGTCGCGCATGCGTGTTTAGAGGCGACGCTATGACGCATGCGTGTAAAAAAAAATATGCGGTTAGAGCGTAAAGATGGAAACGCGAAAACGGCGTTTCAGAATCTTCCCACTCTGAAGGCTGAATAAAAAAAAGATCGTTTACAGACCCCCGAAACGCCGGCTTCGTGTGGATGAGAGGCTGGTTTGGTGAAAAATTTGTGCGTTTAGGCCAGGGTTCGTCTTCGTGTGGACGGGGCCTTAGACCAATCCTTAACATCTAACAGATGAGTCTACAGAGGAAACCATTAATGCAAAGTTAGCTTACTGTTCATTTATACCTGAAAAAAACTCATCACATTGAGGATTCATCAGAACAGGTGAAAAAGTCAACAATTTCTCCCCGTCATGAAGAGTGTTGACAAAATTCACACTAGATGTGAATAAAAAACGAGTAAATGGGGCTGGAAAATATGGACAAACCTTATATCACGATATATTTACCATATTCTGGTTGATATGACATAGTTAATAATATGGATATACACAACATTAAAGTGTCAGATAAATAATACCAGATCCGCTAGGGGTCCCGCCCCTTATTATGACATCAACATATGGCTACTCCACTCAGACAAACTGTATTGCACCCATTTCTTAAGGATCAAATGTCTTCTGGGGCTCAACATATTATTACCTATAAATGCTATTATTTTACATTTCATCAGCGATCTAAAGTAGCTGAAAATACTAAACAATCATTGTCAGTCTAGAAAAAGAGTACTGCATTCTAAGACTGAGCTCTGCCATTTAACGAAGTGACAAAAAAAAAAGTCTGAGCCTATTTTAATTCTTTTTATTAAAGGTATACTATGCAACCGGTGTTGATTTTCCAGCGAGGCTCCCCCCAGAGGGCAAAAGTAAAAGTGCACTGTTGTAAATATGCTCAGCTGTTCTCCTGGTTTCTCCGTCAAGCCAGGCGCGGTTGTTTTGAGCTTAGCAGACAGGCGAACGCAACGAATCACGATGTCTACTGAGGTAAGTGACTATTTTGTTCCAATTCCGCTGTTTTCTCGCTGGTTCCGCCATGATAACAGCACAAATATCGCCACTGCGCTAGCAACGAGCATGCCTTTCACTGGGGGCGTGTAGCAGTTCTCGCCGTAAAGCAAGACCGACTCTCGCGATGCACGAGACTTCTGAGCCTGTGGGTGCGGGCCGAGGGCTCCCGCAATTGCAAGTACGGTATTTCCCCTACAGACCACCAGGGCGGCCGAGAAAACCTTTGTTCGACCTGAAATGACTCATTTAATCATCCAAAACGTTATGGAACACATTAATTAACTGAAAAATGTTGCATAGTATGCCTTTAAGATCTGCGGGCAGGGGAGGAAAAATGGAACATCTTAAAAAATGACTTTCGTAGAGATTTTAGGCAAAAAAACAGTTATTCTACTTGTAGAAATCGAACGGTTGTTGTTGACATGAATTTAAAAGTAGTGTAGCTTCATATGGCTAACAGAACGAGCTAAAAGAGGCTAACCTGTTAGCTCCTGAGCACAGCTAGCCACAGCGCTACCCCCTTTATATCGTGATCAACCATCGTTTTTCTGTTTAGTTATCGATCAGGTAAAACTTCATCGGTCATTAGTCCCGCTAATGCTACAGATGCTACCAACTCGACACACGGATGCTGCGTGATGTTATTGTTGTCTGGGCAACCACAATGTTCTACAACAATGTTTACGTTCAGCCAATCGAGTAGCGTAACGTCACTGGCTTGCGCAGGTCCCAAGCAGATCTGATACCTACACAGTCAAGAATGCCCATGACAGATACCCCAACAAACCTGTCAACACTCCTCCAACAGGCATGTTAGAAATAATCCACTTACAATTAATTTTCAGTTAAAATTTTATTGGATTAAAATTTGTCCATCATACTAATTAAAAGAGAAGTAATGCAGGAGTGGGTCCATGCTAGAGCAGAACCATGAATGGATCTAGAGTCCAGTCTTGGATTTTATTTCAACGTTTAATGGAGACACAGATCCAGAAAGAACTTTATGTGCTTCTGTATGTAAATATAAAAACCGGGTAAACTGTTCTGCATTGAAAGGCAAAAATATGGAAATGAAGTGGAAGAAATTATGTTTGTAACATGATAGAAAAAGACAAGAGAGTGATTAACAGCGTAGATGGGAAAGACTTTTATAATTTAAAGCAATTTTATGTAGGAAAATTTAAACGTTCCTCTGAGAGCAAAACCACCAGTTTTAGAGCACTGAAGCGGCAAAGTCTCTCGCAGCAATGAATACTGGATCGGACTGCGGCTGAAACAATTAATCGGATTAATCGATTATTGAAACAATCGTCAACAAATATAGTAATAAATTAATCGTTAAATAGAGAATAGAGACAATAAAACGTGCCTTTAACAGACAGAGAAACCCACTTAGAGCAGTAATTATATCAATATTGTAAAAAAAAAAAAATGTAAACATTTTGCATTTAAAATGAAAAAAAATATTTCATCGCTCAATATCCACAAATCAAGTGGAAAAGGTTTAGTTTCACCTGGTTTAATTTCGTAACAAAATCCTCTTAAGGGCACCTTTGGCTATCCAATTATTAATCGAAAAAATAATCGACGGATTAATCGATTTTAGTGTTGCCCCAATGCCATTTTTTGGCCCCGATACAGACAACCAATACCTGGCCGTGCAGTATTAGCCGATACCGATACCATCTGTTTGATATTGATGTGTGTGTATATATGAAGAATGGATGTAAAATAATTGCCATCATGGCTTTGTCAAGCTGCTGCCTACCTTTGTGAAGCAGGAAACAGACTAGGGTTGTCATGATACTAAACTTTTCAACTCGATACCGATACTAAGTAAAATATTCGATACTCGATGTCATTTTCGATACAAGGATAAAAACAAAGACTCCAAAATTCAACAGAAATTTTTTCATTAATAAACAAAATACAATAAATAGATAAATAAATAAAATAAACAATATTTTGAGGTCGTATGCTGTGTACAGTTTTAAGCAAGCTTGATAAAAAACTTACAAAATTAAAATTAAGTGTTCCTTACTTGGCTATGCTTTACACACATAGCAATGACACTAGCCAAACCAACTAGCTGCACCTGTTACAGAAAAAAGTCTGAAACTGAAAAGTGCACAGAATTATTCAATCAAACAGTGTTCAGAAAGTGCATTTTCCTCTAATCTGCGCATAAGATGAATGGCTGTTTAGGTGCCACTGGTGGTAGCACTGTATCGATACTTTTGAAAATGAGTATGACGGATACAACGTTTCAGTATCGATACTTTTTTGAGTATCGATACTTTTGACAACCCTAAAAAAGACCAAAAAAAAGTGAATCCAGTAGAACTTTTTATTGCCTACCTGGAATGGGTGACAATAGTTGAAGAAACTTTTGGCTCTCAAAATGGTATCGGCGGCCTATTTGTTGGTACTCGCCGATACCGATAACACCATTATAGAGCTGGATCGGTATTGGTGCAGCACTAATTGATTTGCAAATAATAGTTGCAGCCCTAGATTAGACTAAACACAGAGAGTTATATCACAGTTAAATTTCCCTTTCATTGAAATGGATTTAAAAAAAAAAGAAAGGAAAACATTTAATTTCCAATGTACAGGCAGGGTATGTCAGTATGACATACCCTGCCTGTACATTGGAAATGAAATGTTTTCCTTTGTTTTTTTTTTGTTTTTTGTTTTTTATCGAGTAACCAAAC